GTAAACAGCAACATTTAACAGAATCATTTAACAGAATGCCGGCTTATTGACAGGTGAAATCCATTCAGCGCTGACACAATTCCAAAATATAATGAACATGGTTTTACTGCAGTGTTGTTGTAAAATCTATAAGCAAAATAATGGGAAGTAGAAAATACTACAGCTAAAAAGCTCCAAGATGTTAAGGGGGGGAAAAAACCTCAGATGATACTGTTTATTGTGCACTGGCGTTGATCTATTACATTTCATTTGTCTGGAACAAATTAGATAAAAAAATGTTATTTCTATTTACGCTGTCTGTAATGTGCATTTTTTGGAAATACCCATACATCCATTATTTCCCGCTTATTGTCAGACGTACACCCTGGAGCCAGGAGTTACTTTTAAAAATTTCACAGCAATGACTGAAATCCACTAAACTCTATGAAGTTAGTGTGAAATAAGTGTGAAACATAAACATCTGCCTGCTGTTATCAGAAATATGTCCTTCTGTTCGAGGAATATACACAAAAAATTGTTTTTTTTTTGTCATGAATAATTACAATCACGGCTAATTGTGATGAAACAAAATCTACCATGTTATTAATCAGTTTAAATAATTCAATGTGATCACTTGACAGCCTTAAATATATATAGTTTTTAAATATGTATAAACTGTATATATATAATGAATACCTTATCCATTTTGCCCTCCACAAAGTAAAATGTCAGCTCAGCAGCAATCTTCTTTAAACCTGCTCTGAAAACAAAGAGAGATTAGATTGAGGTTTTTTCCAAAAAGGCAGTCAAGTGAAAAAACAGCACTACTCTCAGAACACTGCAAATGCATTGATTTTCCCCTGCAGTCATTTTTTTCTCACTGTCAGCCATAGCACACCAGAGAGTTTAACACAGACAATGAACCAGTACTGGTCCTGAGTAGTACTGACAACAGCCTCAACTGAATTTCTTACGTGACTCGAACAAAATCATTGACCAACTATTGGTGACTCAAACGTTCTTCAGACCAACAGTGTCTTAGTGGAATTGGACGGACGCACTTATCATGTCTTCGACTGTACTTACTGTAAACACAACAGATGAAAAGTGGGCCAAACGTAAACACAACAGATGAAAAGTGGGCCACTGAACCTGAATGAACCATGGCTCATTGGCGTTACCTCGATCTGAGTGAGGAAGAAAAAGTGCAAGGTCAGCACAGTAGGCTTTTATTTTGTCGGACCAGCCACTACAGGTGATTAAGTCGTTAGCCAAGAGGGGGCACTATTGATTCTGTCACAAGGTCTCCGGCCCCTGTTGTTTTAATATATAGGCCAATGGCAGTTTGATGTGGTTGTGAAGAGGTGTAGCAGAGTGACAGCTACAGACGTATGAAGAACATCTTATTACAGTCCTCAGAAGAACACTGTCCTCCCACCTGCCTCTCTCTGTCCTCACTGCAGTGACAGCCCACGGGGAGCAGTCTGTGTATTATTGGCATTACATAGTAGCAGCTAATTTGATATGACAGTTGTTTGACTGCCACACCGGGGCCATCCACCAGGGACCTCAGTTCACGCTGACAGACACAGGGAATTGGAAAGGATCGTCCCCAGCAAAAGGAGTCTGTCCGTAGAGTGTATAAAGGGTAATTGGGTGGGCTGCTCCGGACCATAAGGGTAAAATTACAGGGTCATCATCTCCTACTGAAACAAATGGAGGAAATCTCTGTGTGTTTTGGACTCTGGTCTCTGATGAAAGGCCTCTTCGGTCATGGATTTACCTGTGGTCTCACAGGCAGCTCCACCTGCTGACTCACTGATATATGAGCAGTTTTTACAACACTGTACCTGCCAATAGCCACAGAGTACTCTGCTGTGTACTTGATTTGGTTGCAAACAAATGTATTTTCTTGTACTGTCCTGTCATTTAATTGCATCAACGTATAATACAAATTTATTGTTTCAATAAATTTAAAGAGTACTCTAGAACAGGGTCCTCCCCCCCAACAACTCCTCTAGGGGGCTGCAGGCCACACTTTGAAAACCACGGCTCTACAGCTTCAAATGTGTTCCTCAGCAGCGATCACTGGCCTCTGCTGTACAGTGTCATCAGTTAAATGATTATTTCGGAGTGCCTTCATAATCTCTGTCTGATTTGCTGACTTGGCTGAGGCACACCTGTGAGGACGGCCTATAAGCAGCAGTAGCCTGCAGACAGGCAGTTTTATATCACATTACTCATTGAGGCACTAAATCCTCTTTTACCCTTTCATCTCAGAGAGAGGGGGTAATTAATTCTCCTCATTTTATGGCCAGGCTCACATATGAATATGCCATTTGCTGTCAGTTTATAGCCTTTTTATGATGTCGCTGAAATTACATTTATGTTTTTAACTTTGTTTGATGAGAAATTAAACAGTACAGAGGTAAACCAAGTCTGAACAAGGGGGTATTTAAGAAGGGTGACTTTCAGGTCCAGGTGGATGGATGGATGGATGGACAAATGGATGGATGGATGGATGGATGGATGGATACTGATTTCCATAAAGCAGATTTTCAACTTCAACTCCAACCTTACATAAAAAAATTAAAAAAATATTTTCTCAAGAAATTCTGTTTTGTAAAAAGGCCATTTTGGGGGGAGGGGGGGGGGTTTCCTGCCCTATAGGAGAGTTAATATAACACATTTTCCCTGGCTCTTGGTTCATTTTGTAGACTCTGCATTTTTCAGCGAGGGGCTCTATTGGCTTTATCCTGACAGAGTGGGAGACGAGGAGGCACTGAAAGGCCAAAGCTCCAATTACATGCAGCCCCTGCTCCTTAAATGTCAAGCTACTTTACATTACCCAAAGTGCAACAGCATTCAGTGGATATTAGCCTCACTCTGGCCACATCTGTTACACTGTGTTATGTTGCTCCTTTAGAAAAAAAAACCTGAATGGTTTTTCATTCAGGCTCTTTTATATAAAAGCTTTATTCACTGTTTGTTTTCAGATGTTTTCAACTCACACTGTAAGAAGGTTAGGTCAGCAATAAAACTAAATCAAACCAAATAACAATTGTTAAACAAAAAATGTTTTCTAGAAAATCCATTAAGTGTAATTATTTTAAAGGCTATATTCATGATCTTTATTTTTGATGTTGCTCATTCATGATGCAGCATTAAAGTTTCAATAATGATGTGTCAGATTTTCATACCTGAAACATCACAATCTAAACCAAACCTAAATGGTATCCCGTTAGAATGATTTAAGCTCTGCAAAAAGTATTTTCCCTTTTCTAAAAGAAAAACAACAAATGATGAGTCAGTTGAGAATTCTAAATTCTAAAGAAATGCTCTGATGAAAACCCGGCTTGCAGCAGTGTTTGAATTTAAATGGTGGACATTCATTAATAAAGAGTGTTTCCAAGTTAGAACTTTTTTGACTGTTCCCTGTATAACTTTATGAAACCCTTCCACCCTGAGCCAATGTTCTGCATTCATGTTATGATCTTAGCTGTTCCTCCTTCTCTCCAGCCTCTCTATTGTGGACCACATGTGGCAGGTATACAATAGAGGTGCGTCTGACCTACTTCTCCAGCTGTTGGCCTCGCAGCACACCTGGGACTCATTCATAACAAACCCCCGCCGCGTTTGGTCCTAGGACCGTTCATCAGCTCCGTGTTCTCGCTACAGATAAATCTCCATGAATCTCTTGATTCTGGTCAAGTTGTATTTGCTCCAGTGACCTGACTCTTCTGTGTCTCCTGCTGTTTTCATTTGTCTTTTATGTGTGGACACTGTGAAATAAACTAGTTTCCGCAAGAAACTCCTTCTGTACATTTATAAAAACCTGACATGTAGTCAGATCTGGGCCTTTCAGACACAAGTAAGTTCTGCAAAAAAATATCACATGTATTCATTTAGATTTTCCCTTTACATTTGAAATTAAATGTGTTCATTAAGAGTGAATTTCTAACGGAAGGCTCAAAGCATCATACATGGTAAATATATGTGGTTCTACATGTGCTTCTAAAAGCTCGGACACTGTACAAAAACGTAATTAAATCACAATATTACAGAATAGAAATAAGAGGATTAAAAAAATGTTCTCTTATTCCCATGTTCACACAAAACACAAATTATATATATATATATATATATATATATATGTTTTAAAATGATTTTCTGCCACTGCCAACTTATAAATCATTTTCACAAAAGCCATAAACTATAAACAAATTGAAATTAAATGTCCACCATTGTATTTGATTGTGCATTCAACCGGGTTTACCTGACAGGACGACACTTGTCCTCCAGACATCATATTAGTTGTGCATTATCTAATGTCATTTTCTACAAGGTTAGGCTTCATGTAACAGTTGCCCCAGGACAGCAGTAGACTATGAAAGATAAGGAGAGAGCAGCGTGGAGGAGCAGTGGGCCGCGTGTTCGACTTAATGAGACTGATCTGAACAGATGGAGAGAAGACTCCCAGGTTGTTCTGACACAAAGACTCCCAGCTTGCTTGGGTTGATTTTCCATTAGCTTAAAAAAAAAAAAAGAAACTTTGACGCTTAATGCACATTAGGTGCCTTTAAGGACTAGAACGACGGATCTACTTATATTTTTATGGCATCTATTGCAGAGCGACAAAGTGGAGTGATAAAAGCTCACGGCCGCGCGGTGCAGTCCTTCATCCTCCACTGAGTGAGATGTTTGAAAAACAAACTACATCACGAGCCTTGCCAGGAGAACAACCCCAGTCATAAAGCAGTGGCTTGGTTTCAAAATGTGTCACTTAGAAAATATAGAGCGGCAGATTTAAGTATATAACTGTTTGGCAGCACAGACAAATAAAACAGAGAACAGAGGTTACATAATAACATTCACACACAAATCTGAGTTAGCAGTAACATGGATTAATGTTGCACCTACATGTTTTGTTTCACGCGTTTAAATTATAATATGGGAACATTCAAATATTCCTATAATTGTTGTCTAGACTCAGCAGCCAGTGTTGTTCTGTGTACGGATAGAGGACTCAGGATGATATAATGCCTGAGGGTGAGCATAAATGTTTTGTTCAGAGACTGTACAGTTTCAACAGACACCATATGGCAGCTGTGACTGCTGCTGTTGGGCCCAGCAGAGTTATGGAGGCTGTAGTAATTGTTTTCTTAACGGCACAAGACAACGGAAAAGTGCTCAACATGCTGGTGTGGTGAAAATGTAGATTTCCACAACCTCCCTGCTCAGCAGAATGAGGGCTGAGTTTCTGGTGAGTTACCACTGTAACTGGGAGTCGACTGCTCTCTTAGCCTACGTAGACATTTTCTAGCAGCACATTTGCAGATATGTGATTTTAGTAATGGTCTTCTACATCTTCTATAAGGACAATATCCACAAACTGTATTTAACTGTATACACCTGCAAGCATGTATTTTATATATGTACTATATATTTCAATAACTCAAAAATGCTACAAAAAAGACAAAGATATAGGTGGCTCCCATAGTTAAAAAGTCAAAGGTTAATTGTCTGTTGTCTCACTAAGGTGACCTTTCCTGACCTGCATCACAGCAGAAAGTTCTGTGACCAGACTGTCAGAATGTATTCCTTCCAGGAGGAAGACCAGAGTATAACAGTATCACACTGGCCTCCTTTGACCCGACTCCCATTAACCCAGACTCAGGCTCAGTGAGACAGGGAGAAGAAAGGAACACAATCATTACCCTCTATCAGCACCATCTTTACCATTCATCACTCATGTCTGCTCCAGCTAGGAAATATTGCTTTCCTCACTTACCTCTGCAAAAGGTCTGTAAAAACCAGAGCGGGTGGTCAGGGGAAGGTCAGTCCACTCTCAGAGTGCCCTTCTTCATCAAGACCTCTGTCTCAGCTCCGAAGTCGTTCTTGTTGGAAGATTATGCGGCCATCTTGTGCAGAGTTGCTGTTGTTATCAGACCTGTGTGGGTCGTAGAAGAGTGATAATTAGTGTGTACAATACTGCTCTTTTACTGTAGTAGTTGTGTGTAACGCTACAGAAGACATTCATTACGAATGAAAACTAAGCCTCAATGGCTTAGTTTTCATTTATTAGTACAAATACTATTGTTAGTTTTCATTTATTAGTACAAATACTAATGTCTAATGGCTAATCTATAAAGCATGTGTCAAACTCAAGGCCAGCAGGCCAAATGAAGACCGCCAAAGTCACATTGTGTGGCCCACAGGAGTTTAAAAAGCATTTAATTGTCCAATAATAGTCAAGGTTGTTGTCATAGTTTTTAATGCAACTCATCAAAACATCATCGTGTTTTTGGCCTTTAAATGTGTTTGAATAATAATACAGTATTTTTAACTTGGTGAAATGTACTTTTGAGATGTTATTGTATGTGTTTCACTCAGTAAATATGAAAAAAACTCACCCACTTTTTTTTTTTTAATATATAATGCAGAAGTGGCACCTGGTGAAAATGAGTTTGACAGCGCTGCTGTGAAGTATCATATCACAAACAACAATGAACTTATTTCAAAATGAATACTCAGATTCTCAACGTATAAACAGACACTGCCAGAATACTATACTTTATTTTTTTATGACCAAAAGCCCTTTCCCTCAAATTACTCATTGTAAGCTTGGATGACTCAAGTCTACAGTCTCAGACGCTGAGAGTTTCAGTAACAATAAAGATCATAAAGACATTTCTGTGGTTGTCATGACAGTGACCACAAGCAGGACATTGAGATGTAGCTCTTTGCAGGTGGGATGAAAAACAGAACACAAAGTATTGTTAAGGTGTTTTTAGGTGAAGGAAAGCACATCCAGACAGAGGGAAATAAGGTTGTCACCTACACTTGTATAATGGTATTATTCACCTTTCTATTATGTTGTACTGCCTCCATTCTAGCAATATTGTTTGAATCAATAGCAGCAATTTATTAAAAAAAGATGACTTAACTTAAAATAGTTTAAAATTCACAGGAACAAGCAGGTGAAGCACAACGAAGGGTCACAAAGAATAGACACTGACCAAATGAACCAACGAGGCCTGAGTGAAGGAGAGAGGTATAAACACAGGGCACCAAGTGACACCAGTGAGACTTATGAACAAAACACAGGTGAGTGTGAACGCACTGTCAACACAACAGCCCCAGGCAGGAGGGAAGGTCGACGGACAGACCTAACAAAAACAACCTTATCTTCATGCTATAAATGTCACACAAATGAATAGTTGCAGAGGCATCCGCCATTACAGATTAAAGTAAAAATACTTTTTTTTTTCTTTTAAGTTCAGCAATAAAGGGCATTCACATCAAAAGCTATAGGTCAACCCACAAGTCAGGGAACGCTTGGAAAACAAATCGATTGTACAGAGAATAGAAAATGTATTGCTTTAACGTCATTTAATGCTAATGACAAAACGTTCTTTAAAGGTGTGGGCAAATATTGATCAAAACTTGATTGGGTTTCCTGTATGTGATGTTAAACAATGTTTTATTAATTCAACATCATAATAATTTAAAAAATAATTAATCATTTAATTTAATAATTTAACATTTGATATGATAATAAAATAGTCATTAAAAAACACAAATATACAAATATGATATTTAGTGATTAATGGAAATTAAATTGGTTATTCATTTTTAATGTTTTGACTATATTTCCATTAAGATCTGAACAAATCAGGTGTTTCCTGACCTATTTGACTCACTGATTTGCCTGTCGATGACTTCTTAAAGAAACCTTGACTTTAATTTACATTATAGTTTCACACATATTGACAAGCACTTGATGTAAATAACATTTATCCAGTAATTGCTATCATTTATCCTTTTAGGACCTCTCACTGGGCAGAACAAACGCATGGTTGCCATGGAAAAAGAAATTCCGATGATTAACGACCCAGGGTTTAAACAGTGATAACGCAGGCTGACTATTGTGCTACTATTGTCTGGAGTGTTGCGGCATTAAAAGTATTTTTCTCTTCAGCAGTGGCATATTTTAATTATGCACATTTTAAACTGTCCTGAAACAGGCAGAAATTATCCATAAACAGAGCACGTGGCGCTCCTGGTCTGCCGGCGGTCAGAGTGGATTGTTCTGGTTAATGTGTTGAGTGCACTTGCACAACATTATTGTTTTAGATAAATCTAATCCTGTAATTTGGTCAAGATCTGTCCTCACAAAAAAAGTAGTGCTTGTGTAACTCAGCCCAAGAGAGTAGCAATTGCCCGCTAGGTCCCAGAAAATACACTCAATCTCAAACACATAAAAGTGAATGGGAAATCATACTAGGACAGCCTGAAGATAATATTCCATTTTCTGGATAATATAAGTCTCAGTGCCGCTGATGTGTGGAGCTGTTCTCCTGGAATGATATTACAACAAAATTTAAGTCGTGCACCATTTTGATACATGGCCTACAAACAGAGTCTGTTAACAGTAACATTTAGTTTCAAGTTATTCATTTTTAATGTCATCTATCGTTAAATGTCTTTCAGGTTGGAGGGAGCAGGAGACAATACCAAAATACAACAGAGGAGGGCAGTGTGCACGCCAGGCAGGGGTCTGTTACAAAGCCACATAGAGACAAAAAATAATTTATTGAAAAATAAAATAAAATTTACAACAAGAGTAAATGTAAGAACAGATCAGTTAGAATGACCCTTTCTACACTGTAGCTCAGGGCTGTCCAGCTACTATTCAAATAACCAGGCTGAAGTGATCTGTCGCTCCTCACGATGCTACGGTCGCATGGTTAACACTGAAACAACCTTCACACTTCCTTCACAGCCTCAGGCTGTTTCATGACACTACTTAATCCTCACCTGCGGAGACACCTGCAGTCACATTTCACCCATGTCTATAGTCAACACTGCAGGCTCTGTTCCAAGGAACAGAGTGAATCCTCCTGCCCTACCAAAGTGGGAGGGAGGGTTAAATTCCCCTCTTGAATACTTTAAATAGAGAGGATTAAGTGCAAAGTAAGTGAGTGAAGTGGGCGATCAAACAATGATTAGCGCAGTAATGATTGTGCTCATTAAACAGACTCACTAAATCCTGCCGTTTGTTCACAAACTGCAGTGTGGATCATGGACGGATCACCAGTTGGTTCTCTCACCTTTATATCAAAGGTTCTAGGGTCCTCGGTCCCAAAGGAAATTACTTTTAACTCTCTTTAAACATAAATTAAAGATGGTTTTTTTATCCATATATTTATCAGTCAGCTTTTCAGTCATAGACTTCTTGATTGCATGCAATTGTTGACATGTGCATCAATTGTGCACAATTGATAAGTAGAGTTGATGATGATAAATATACAGTGCCCATCATTCTAACAATTTATTCAAAAATTAAATCTGATTTATTTCTCATTTTAATTATTACAATTAATCCTTTAATTTTGGCAGCCCCAAAACTGTCACCATTTTAAAATATAGTGGCATAACTGTATTAAATACTGTGTATGCAGTAGTACCTGAATACTATGAGAAAAACCATAGCATGGAAATATCTTTATTCTGATTATAATAATCTCAATGTCACTTTCTTAATAACTTAAATACTCATATCCAAATTCAATGTATCAAAAATACTTACAGCCAAATGATAGAATTTAGTTTGACTGTGTTAATATTGTTATGGTCAAAGGATAAGAACAGGCACAGTCCTGGAGGAGAGTGGTTGGATTAAATTGCCTTTAAATGAGAAACATGCTTCATGTGTTTGTCTTCATGTCTGAGCAGAAAATAGAAGGAAATAAGATCAACCAGTGACTTTCCACCACTGGAATGTTGGGGTTCAGAAAGACAAAGATGAAAGGGAAAAGAGAAGGAGTCGACGCTTCAAGGTTTTTTTTTCTTTCTTTACTGCCAGACATAAATTTCTCAAATATAAAGTCTCCAAGCCAAGTCTTAATTTTATCCCCAGTACTATGATCCTGGCCTTTAGAAAGTCTGTCTTTCTTCAGCACTGCTCAATCCACTGTATCTTTCTTTTATAACATACTCTGTGGGTCTGTTCATTCAGGAAAAGTGAAGTAAAGAACGGGGACGGGCTTAGTCTAGGAGGTGAAGGAGCTAAACCCATCAGAACCGCATGCCAAGACAGTCTGAACCGCAGACCAAGCCTATATCTGGTGTAATGATTGTAGGTGGTGTATGTGAGTTAATAAGTTCACGCAAATGTAATTATAATGTAATGTTCAAAAGATCCAAACTTTGTGAAAAAGGTTTGCAAAGTCTTGCCACAAAAGGTAAGAAATGTTCTAAAATGTCCAAGTTAAAGCTCTATATTTGATCGAGTGTCAACGTTAGCCAAGCATTGTTTATCATCCTACACTATCAGTCATGTGTCCCAGATGTGGCCTATGGGCTACCATTAAAAAAACAAAACAAACTAAGAGCAGCGATGCAGTCAGCCAGATGTGATGCCACCAAATGTAATTATTACAAGAGAAAAAAAAAAGTGTGTCACACTGGTCCTCAAGCCTGAATGAATTTGGGTTTTAGGATATGATGTATACATGTATACAGTATACAGTGTCCATCTTTATTTTTGGGTATATTTGTAAACAGTAAATGAGTAGTATTGTATATATTCCCTAATCTTTTGAGATACCTATTCTGAAAATACAGACTTTTAAAATCTGTTATATATTACTCTCTTTTTATACAGTAAATTACTGGATTTAAAAGAAGAAACTCCTGGCTAAAAATGTTTGTAGATGTTTTCCTTTGGTAAAAAATAATTTATAAACATATGTCAAGAAAAGTTAATCACAGTCTGGGTAAAACTTACAGAGAATATTTAATAAGAACTATTGCTGAGTGCATTTAGCAAACATCCAGTTTCTTATTAGGATCTGGATGTTCAACCATGCCAGCTAAGGTTTTTTTCTTTTTTTGAAAAAAACAAAAAAATCAATTTGTTTCCATCTCTCTCCCTGCAGCACTGAC